TTGGGGGCGCTTTCCACAATTAAAACATATAAGCAAATTAAGCAAATTAAGTTTAGAAGGGAATACACGTAAATCAATTAACGAAAGAAATCAGGATTAAAAGAAACAATCGATAGTTACAATTATGAGGATTTTTCCAAAAGTGGAAGAAAAAAAAAGAGTCAGGTTAGACAATCAAATAAATAAATTTGAAAAAAAAAAATATAATCTCATCGACAAAAAGAAAGGAATCTTTCTTTTACATGCGGCACGGCATACGGCATATACTGTATCCCCAAACATAATCACCATATTATTAAAATAAAGAAAAGAGGTTAGAACGAATAACGATAATCAATTACCAAATCTTGTCTATAAGTCTTGTATGAAAAACAACAAAATAAATTTTGTATATATTGCATATCTTCTATCAGCTTCTTCCGGATTTTCCGGCCTTTACAAAAATCAAATGACCCTCCACAAAAAACATGAAGATAGGTTTGGTAATGATCTACAGGAACTGCAAGAAAATGTAACGCCTAATGAATAGGCACGTGATCACGCGATTTCTGATATTTAAAAAAGAAACCTTAAAAAAAAATCAGGGAATCAAATTTCCTACCGATATTTTTTGAAGTGAAACAACATGCAGAATCATTAAGCCTATTTTCGCTATAGCCAGTCACATAAGATATCCTTTAATATCATTTAAATATCAAATGCAAGTTCCCGTACTCAAATGATTTTTTCGCGATTGAAGAAAAATAACCAAAAATGAGTGACAAATGAAAATAATAAACTTTTTTATATTTACGCCAAAAAAAAACTGGTTGATGAGTAAATTTGACGAGTAAAATGCGTATTATTATTGTATTGGTCAATAAATTTTGATACGTGCATGTTTTATGTTAAATTGATAAATCAAATATTTTTTTTCTTTTACGCGTATAATCTCATACACTCATACATGCAGTCTTATACAACCAATAAAAAAAATATATATATTGCGTGGTTTACTTGCATTTAAACAACTTTAGCATTCATTTAAGTATGGCTCACAAATTATATTCACACGATACTTTTATAATATAAAAAAAAAAATTCGGAGACATTATACATTATAAAAAAAAGTTTTTGGGAGTTTTTTTTTTAAGTGGTTAAATCGATTTTTGGAATGTAGAGACAAGTCATAAAATTTCAATTACAAATTCCAAAATTCACTAGTAACCCGGATCCACCTAATTTGGTCTTTCAAATAAAGTTGTTATTTCCGAATAGGGATGGTACTACGATGTTTGATAATTATTACAAAAACCTTTTTTAGTTTAACGCTGCATAACTTGATAGTTTCAATAACGATATCTTTATTTAGATTTTACTCCATAAATCAATCTAAATAAGGTAATAAGGTAGATAACGTAATAATTTTAGTAACTTTTTTACAATTTTAAAAATGATTACGTATACAGCTTATTACGGTATTACGGTATTACTGTATTTACTGTATTTACTGTATTATGCGGTTTAAAGAAAAAAAAACCCCCTCCTTCTTCTATATTTAAGAAAAAACTCTGATAAGTAGACTAAATATATCTGATAAATTATATATGAGAAAAAAAAAAGACCATGACACATAATTTATATATGCATTAATGCGTATTACGATATGTCAGATTTAAACAACGAAAGCGACACAAAGGCATGAGAGGACTATCAAAAAACTGCCATAAAAAAAAAAAAAACGCCCAAATTAGGTATCAAGCTATTTCAAAGTTAGGAATCATTCCATTTTAGTCGGTTTAACTTTTTATTAAACTTATTCTATTTAATGTTATTTAATGCACTTACATGATTATATAATACGTGGAAGTTACATGTCTCTGAGAAAAGTATTTTAAAATGTTTGATGCAATTACATGTGTGGAGATGTTTGAGAAAAATAATTGGATGAATCAAAGTCGTTCCAAGATAGAAAATTCTAATTATTATTATAATTATTAGTAATCATTTATTATTCTTATTATTATTATTCTTTATTATTTCTTATCATTATTCAGATTTCACTTGATAAACAATTTATTAAAAAAGAGATTGTCTTCTGTACATACATACATACATACGTACGTGCGTATGTACGTACAGTGATTGTTATCGATTATGGTAGAGTTTTCTAATTAATTAATCTTGAAAGAAATCAGTGTGATACTTAAATATATACAAACATGTTGATTGATAGTTATGAATTTATTTCTTTATAAGGCATGTAATAAATAATTCCGATTCATGTTGATTCATGTTGATTCATGTCGATACATATAATAACAGATAAACTAAACTAAAGATTAACATAAATTAGTAATAAATTAGTAGTGCTCTACCCCCAACTAATCGGCATGGGGTTTTTTTAGGTGTTGATTAGGTGGTGATTAGGTGTTGATCGGGTATAAAGTTGATCGGATATAAATGTTATAAGTGTTAATCGGATATAAATGTTATAAGTGTTAATCGGGTATAATGTTAATCGGGTATAATGTTAATCGGGTATAAGGTATAAATGTTATAAATGTATAGTTATAAAGTTATAAATGTTGATCGGGTATAAATTCCGATTGCCGATTGATACCCGAAAAAATTCCATAGTGTTTAATTCGAGATACGCAGGACTTTATCCGTTCTGTATAAATCCTAAAAAAGTTTATAATTTTATTTTAAAATTCGAACGCGTAATATTCTAAGAAGCGTGAATATCATTTATCACAGATTTCATGAGACAGATTTCATGAGATTCAAATGAATGGAATCTAAAAAAATTCTTATTGTTTATCAAAACTCTTGAATATAGAGAGACATGACATGTGAATTGAGTTTTTTGATTTTTTTTTTTTTTTTTTGATCGTGCATTGTTGAGTGCATGAATATAAAATATCCCTTATTTTTTACAACGTTAACTTGACAATTTCCAAAAATGTACTTTCAGAATCTTTTTTATTGCTTGAATGGATAAATCCATAAATCCCATTGAGGGAAAAATCTCAAATTCTGGAATTTAATGAACTCTGATTTTGGATTCATTCATCAAAATTATTCAGTAAAATGTTTAAATTGTCATTTATTTTTTCTTTTTTTGTGAGTGGCGTTGCTTTTCACTCTCAAAAAAGAAATTTATATTTTTTTACAAATAAAGTATTTAAACATCTTTTAGGCATTATAAGAATTCTCATAAAGTCACATGATTATCAAATAATTTAAATTTGTTTTCTCTATTCAGCAATTCATTACTGTATATACAATGTAAACAATGTACTATTGAAATGAATAAACCCATTACTATAGTATTATTAAATTTGACTAATTTGGTATATCTTATACTCTATTAACGTCCATCTATAGAGGAATTACAATAAAGAATAATGCTCTATATAAATAAAAAAAGAATATACTGTATAAAAAATATATATATAATATTTTAAAAATAAATATATGTATATTTTTCTCTATATATAAATATATGTATATTTTTTTCTCTATATATAAATATATGTATATTTTTTCTCTATCTTTTGAATTAACGTTTATTTTAAAAAAGTAAAAATAGAGTTGATTAATCTATTTTTGTAACACTTTTTTTAATAACTCAAAAAATCTAAAAAGAAAAAAAAAAAAATCTCAGCGATTAACGTTAACTATTCCGTTTCTTTACTAATTAATCTTTTTCATAAAAATACGTAGCGTAGTAAAACTTTTTTTACACGGCGAATTTCGGTTATTACATAATTAATATCGATATGTTTTTAATTAATAATGATGATGACGATATAAAGATAAGTATTTTACGTTTATTATTGATCAACAATTTCCATAATAGTTGTGGCGTTTGACAATGGCAAATTGATCATATATTAGCGTTAGCGTTATCGTAATTTAGATAATTAAAGATCGAGATAATGGTACGTAATATTAACGATGATGATGGATGATGATGGATAATGATGATAATTATAATAATTTTGTTAATACGTAACGATAATATAGAATTAATAATAACGATAATAAATATAATAAATAATAATAATAACGATAATAAATATAATAAATAATAACGATAATAAATACAACGATAATAAATAATATATTATTAAATAAGTTGAAATTTATTTATTATAATTTTTTTATTGCTAATTTTTTATTTTTTATTTTTTTTGCTTATTTTTAAAATTCATTTTAAAATTCATATATTACAAGAAATCAAAAAGGAAAAAACAAAAATCTTATCTAATTTTTTTTTTTTTTAAACTTGTGATTTTTGGAAAAGGAGAAGAATCTATTTTAATATATTTACAAAATAGATGAGGGCAATAGTATTTGAAAACAAATACACGGCATTCATACTTATTTAGGGTTTATCTATATGGTTTGTTTCTATTAAAAATTCTATGCGACTTTTTTTTTTCACAGAAAAAAAAAAACGTTATTAAAGTCTATGCTTGCAATATGCGTAATTCTTGAAAAGGAAGAAAAAAAGAATATTAAAAAAAAAAAAAAGAAAAGAAAATAGGAAAAAATGTATATAAAACTATATAAAACTATATAAAACTATATAAAACTATATAAACTATATAAACTATAAACAGTAAATACTTAGTATCATATACCAAGTATTCCAAAAGTGGTTTTGTATTTAACATATATTTAACATCGAATTAAGTGGTAATAAAAAGTTATAATGTATGGAAATGGAAGATGGAAATGGAAGAAATTGAGGAAGAAACAAAAAATTATAACGATTAAATTGCGAAAAAATTCACCGTAAATAATAATAATAAACAAAAAAAACGGGAAGTAAGGAAGTAAAAGACCTCGAAAAAAAAATATAATAATATAAAATTTTGATTGTTAAAGTTGATCGTTAAAGTTATCGTCGAGAGGTAGATTTGAGTTGAAAAAAAATTTTTTAACAGTTAACAGTTAACATTAATAACATTAATAACGTTAATAACATTAATAACAGTTAACATTAACAGTTAAGCCATTTCATCATCATCATGAGTCCAATCAAAATTAATTTCCAATTCAACCCGATGTTGATCCAAAAAATCTTCAACTTCATTCCTATCGACCCAAAGATCATATTTCAATAAACCAAGAAAACTACGTTCCATGGTATTGACATCTTTAACGGTATAAAGACCATCAGTAATATCAGCAATGGTCTTATTTTGAAGAGATTGATCACTTAAATATTTGCTTGCAACTAAAATCGCGGATAAAAAAATTTTATATGGTGTATCAAAATCGCCACGTGCTGTAGATGGTAAAGATTTTTTTAATCGATTTACGTAGATCAAACCAACTACCATGGTTATTTTCGAAACTTTTGATCTTGTTGTGATATCTCTGATAAAATGGAGGAGATTTGGTAAAGAGGCGTTTTTTAAGGATCGTTGTGAGCATTGAAGAACAGAGTCACATGAACCCGCTGTAAAAGCTATATACAAATAGTTTGATTAGTTATATATGTTTGTCGATCGCATGTATCACAAATTTCAATGTTTATTATCAATATGAAACAAAGTCAAACAAGAAATCCTTTTTCAATTGGTTCACAGTTGAAATTTTGAATTACGTATTTTTTTTTTTTTTTTCAAGAAATCCGGAAATATTTTACTTACACATTAGGGCATCGCCTCCCAAGACACTGTCACAATTACCATTGCTGATTACGCTGCAAGGCATGTTTGGTTCTGTTGGCGAATTGTGGCTTGGATCCAGATTTTTCGTTAGAAACAAGAATAAAAAATTTTTTTTTCAAGGCTTCAAAAATATATAAAAAAAAAAAAAAATGATAAAGAAAAATAAATGATAATTTGATGTAAAATAAGGGGGGTTGCACACTCTTTTTTAAAAAAGAATGCGCATATAATTTAAAAAATATATGAACGAGAATTCAAATGTGTACAAAGAATATATAATATCGAAAACGTGTAAAACTCACTGAAAAAAAGAAAACGTTAAAATAAGAAAATGTAAAAAAAATTGTTCGATTGATTCATGCAAAAAAAATACCACAATTCGAATTTTGTGGTAAGAGTGAGTTTTGTATAAAAGAATAAAAGGAATGATATTGATATTGATATTGATAGAAACGATCAAAATAATATATATCAAACGATAATAGTTAAAGATGTTTTTAAAGAGACAAGAAGGACAGAGAGACTATAATTGAATGAAAGACCACTCAAATAGTTTTTTTTTTATTGTTTCTGCCAACTGTCGTGATAAAAGGCGGTGCGATATAGCAACGATGCCTTCTTCGCAAAGGTCAGGATGTCATTGTTGAAACCGGGTATTTAAATAGTTTTTCAAGCAGACAATTGCATACAATTATAAATTATAATATGGGCTTTTTTTTTCCTTTTTCTTTACTTTTTTTTTTTTTTTTTTTGTCTACTGAAAAAAAAAAAAGATCCCGGTAAAATTTGTAAAGCTGCAGAAGATATGCACACAAGAATGAGCTGCAAAGAGCAACTGATGTTTATACGCGAAAAAATATATAGAATGCGAGTTCTAGTTAAAGAAGGGTAACAAAGGCGTTTCGTTAAAGGAAAAGAAGATGGTTATGAAGTGTAAGTCAATTTTACTTTGATTTTATGCAAAAGCTCACGTCAAACATTCATAGGAGTACAATATATTTATAGACTAAGATTTACTTTTTATTTATCATAGTAAAAATATCAATATAATTTTGGATCAGTATAAAAAAAAAAAAAAAACCTTATAATGGCATATAATCTGCGGGTCATTATAATAGTGATGGCATATATAATTTACAATTATTTATTATATATATTTATTATATAACTGTACACCCTGATAAAAGAAATCTTTTAGAGAGAACTGGAAAAAAAAGATGATGATGATACCAATGAAAGAAATTAGTAACCGTAATTTCCGTAATTTCCGATTGGAAAGGCGTATACCAACTCCGTGTAAACAGCTTGCATAGTATTGGGATTAATGCATTAATTTGAAAATATTTGCAAGATAAATAACAGATAAGAAAAAAAAAAAATTATGTATATATCGTGGAAATGCGGATGTCATGGTGTTACTTTAGTTCATGGTGCGATAGGTGGAATGTAGATCAAAGCATACGAAAAAAAACTAGTTACGTACGTACGTACGTACGTACGTACTTATGTACATGTTTCAGATATATTTCATAATTTGATTCCGAAAGAATTACGAGATTTGTCGAGAATAGATAAGCTGGCAGAATCGTAACAGATAAAGAAATTCTAATTTTTTTATTTTTATTTTTATTTCTATTTTTTTCTTTGCTATGTAACGAAGTTTGTGTGATAATAAAATTAATTGGTGCAGATGATATGCGAATAAACTAATATCATTAAGTATCCTGCGTTATGTTTATGCGTAATTTTTGTAATTTTTGTTATTTTTGAAAAAAAAATTTAAAATAATTGTGTACGCATTAAGAAATCTTGTATAGTTATTAAAATCCGTGCATAAAAGCGTGGTTTTTTTAAACATACTGTAGATTAATTATTGTTGATTATTGTTAATCTATTGAAATTATTATGTAAAGTGGCTCAGTGAACATACTCTCTTTGAAAATGATATTGGCGAAGTTACAATCAGATTTAATGATTTAATTATTGTTATTGTTATTTTTAGAATTTACTATAGAATTTATTATTTTTGGCGAAACCTTCAATTACTGATTACATAAACATTATAATCCGAGATTAATGTATCTTTTTTATGACTTTGTTCTCTCTTTTCATTTTGACTGATCGATCAGTTTAATGCTTAATCAGCTTTTTTCGGTCTTCTAACTGCGCTAAGCCAAGGATCCCATGAAAAGTCATGTCACTTAAAAATTCATGATATTATCTCCACGCGAGTTTTTTAATTTCCTTTTTATCCAGAACAGGTTGTCAAACAGGTTGTTACATTTCCCGGTTTACCTTATTTCACTTTCTATTTCACACAAAATCATTATTTTGTTGTCCTTTACACAATTTTACACAATGAATGCGCTTTTAAAATTATTATGTATATGTATATATATATATCGATATATGATAAAATATATATATTTATCGATATATATATATGATAAATATGTATAAATTTATATATATTACGTATACTTTTGTCATTTAGTAAAGTGTTTACAATTAATTTCTCGCATGTGATTTTTCCTTTCGTCAAATGTTAGCTTTAAAGATATTTAAGTTTTATATATTAGTTCAACCTTTTCGTGTTTTCATTCAATATTGTTTTTTTTCCTTTTGTTTGACATTTTTGGTTTTATACATGCATAAAATTGTTTCCAGGAGAAATCGTATACTAGCCCGCCTCTTTCCGTAAAAATGTTTATCGCTCTTACTCGCAATCTTTTTACGATACTTATAATTGGATATACTGTTTAATCTATAATTTATACGCTAAACTTATTATAAAAATTTTTCTTTTTCTCATTTCTTGAGTAATGTTACGCAAATAAATTTAATGTTTATATTATAAAATTAGTCATGCTTTGTTAACTAATTGGATATTAGAAATTTTATATTGTTTTTTGCAAACTTGTTAATTGATTCATATAAAATATTGCAGCAATAATTTTATAAATAGTAAATTTTGCCTATTTTTTAAATTAATTCTAGCTAATAATGTCTTTTTTAAATTTATTCTAGCTAATAATGTCATTTTTAATTTTAATTAATAAAACATGTTGTATATAGGCCGATGCAAAATTATAAATATACAAAAGTTTGTTTACATATACTGTATAATAGTTTATTAAAGTTTAATATACAGTACAGTAGTAAATTAATTAAAATTTTTTTTTATTAAAAGAATTTTGGTTTAACTTTTGATTGGCTTTATATGTATATCTATTTTTTTTCTAAAAAATAGTTTATTAAAGTTAATAGTTATTAAACTATAAAGTTAATTTGATTTTTTTATTACAGAATTTTTTTTTTTGGTTTTTAAAGATAAGGCCTTGCTTATATTTTTATTGAGTAATTTATATAAGTAGTTATAAATAAAAACTCAATTCATATATAAATATATAAATAAATATACATGCAAGAATAAAAGCTCAGACTATTTATTTTTTTGCAATTTAAATTTACTAAAGTATGGGTGTGATAATATAGCAAAGTGGTCTAGTTGTCACTTTACCAAGCAGCAAGTCTAAGGTTCAAATTCCATGAACAGCAAAAAACAAATCCTGTATTATAGTGATCAGAATACTGATTATCAGATCAAAAAGATCTGTAACTCAAGTTGTATTAAAGTATTAGTACTTGGAAGATCTTGCAGCATCTGTACAACCATAAAAACTTGAAAATACAAAGAAATGCTAATTAGTTTTAGGCAATGCAAATACATAATAAGTTCAAAGAAATATCTGAAACTCAGAATAAATATAAGTATAAGAAACTTGTTTAAGAAGACCCAAATTGAAAAGTAGTAGCTAACTTTCAATGATACTGCAGAATAAAAGATAATACTATACTAAGAACTCAACTAAAAACCTGATAGTTATAATTCTTATAGGTTCAGATCATACCAATCTGGCCACCAAACCCATACTAGAGAAAAAGAACATATGCTTTGAAAGTATATACTAAGAGAAGAGAGACTGTTAGGCATTTAAAGCCAGACAAACTGATCCTTTCAGATTAATTAAATTAGTAAAAAGGATGTCTTTAAAGCCAAACTTATAAGTTAAAAAAAAAAGTTGGTACTGGAAACTCAATAAAAGCAAAAGATACTGCAGTAGTGTGGTTAACATTATAAGCAATATTTTTGAACCTAATTTAAAAATGTATAAAATATAGAAAATTAAAAAGCAATACTATCAGCTACCTAATATAAATAATATTTAAAGGTGTAACCAGAGAGCATTATCATTAATAGATAAAATTTGATAAAATACTAGAGTTTAAAGTAAATTGTAATTACTTAAATTGCAAGTATTAAAAATATAAATAGTTAAATTAAATTCAATACTGTAAATGCAATTATATTGTTACAGAGCTATAGCCTTTTATCAATGATATAGCAAAGTAACAAGGTCACTTACTGTAGAGAAACTTATATTAGGAATATATTGTAATATAGTAGACTTTGGTGGCAGTAAACTATATTACTTGACTTAGTGTCAAGAGGGTAAGAAATGTGAATAATATAAAATAATTACTAAAGAAACTAAAGATAAAACTAAACGAACTAAAAGTAAAAAATATATCAAGTATGTATATATAGGCAAATAGAAATAACTAAAAAAAAATATAAAGAAACTAAAAATAAAAAAGACAATAAAAAGACAATAATTCCACTATAAAAAAGATAACAAAATATAAAACGTGTATAAAATAAGTATTTTTTCAAGATAATATCAGTTTATTAGATAAAAAGAAGAAAGTAAAGGAGACCAAGTCTAAGTTTAAGACCAAATTTAAAACAAAATCTACCCAAGCCTTAGATAAAAAGACCAGGTTTATATATCTTTTACAATTTTAATTAATTACTAATTATAGTTCGTATTATTGTACTATTGTGTCAAAGGAACTTGTCAAAGAGACTTGTCAAAGATACTAGTCAAAGAAACTTGTCAAAGAGACTTGTTAAAGATACTAGTCAAAGAGACTTGTTAAAGATACTAGTCAAAGAGACTTGTCAAAGATACTAGCCAAAGA